TTTATTAATTAAGAAGACACTTACTAGGATTCGAACCATGACCACTTTAAAGAAAAGCAAAGATCATAACCAATCACACTAAGTACACTTGTTGTATCTTGTTAAATCGCAGAGAGGAAAAAACTCTTCCCCCATTTTAAATTCTCTGCTCCAGGAGCGTTTGTAGGAAGGGTAGAATAGAGAGTGTCAATTTTTTTCTTTTTCCTCTGTGGAACGGGCCAACTTACCGTACACATGCATATTTAAACGAGTCAAGGAGTGTCAATTTTTTTCTTTAAATCCTTTTATTTCCCCGTGGTGGTAAAATATATATGAAAAGGCAAAAACAATACTCCTTTTTATTGCTAAAAAGAAAAAAATTAACGATAAACTAATGCATGAATTCTAATGGGCTAACCACTAATCATAAAATAAAAGAGTTGAATGGGCCGACCAACACGGGATTTGCCCATCAAGTAAAACAAATGAACATCATGGGTTTGCCATTCTAAAACAAACTATTTTCTCTATCATAATATATATTATGCTATTATTTTATATCTTAGTGGCTAAAATATAATGTATTTTAAAGTTATTCAATGGTTCAATCTCGACCAACCCAATTAGTCCAATTTTTATCCTTTCAAATATATATTATGTAATTATTTGATATCATAATGATTAAATTATAGTGTATATTATAGGGAATCGTTTGGTATTTGTTAGTAAACAACTAAACATAAAGATCTATTTGGTTATTTTTAACATTAAAACGTTCTTAAACATTTTCAGTTTCCTTTCGAAATTCTATAGTTTTATTCCTGAATCAGTGGTGTGCAAATGGCGAATTGCAGTCATCTCTTTTCTTTCATTATTTTTTATTTTCAAATAGAAAGTTTAAAAGTAAAGAATAATTAGAGTTTGGCATGGGTCGGTCAAACATACTGAATTTCAAGTTTTGGCCCGTTTTGATCAAGTCTAATTTATAATCACATGGTTCTCTGCTACCCGATAAAAATCTCAATCCAAACCAGTTTGGCAGGTGAGTCCGTGTTTACCACCATTTTCGAGGGATACAGGAACGATGGTTCCTATCCCAAATCGTGTTGTTCATTCTTGATTTCTTTAGATTTTATCATGGCTTGGAAAAAAACCAGAAAGCACAATGATGACAAGATGAAAGTTTTATAAAGCAAATTAATCGGCCAACGGGCCGAGTAAAAGCTAGCAACGATTGTGAGATGCTCATTTCCCGAAAACCGGCGGGATAGGCGATTTTTTATTCAATTTTCTGGAATTCTGTTTCAATAAAACTTACTCCACCTCATCATATTACCAGAAACAATATTGTTTCACGAGGTAACAGGTACTGGATTTTGGTTCATAAGGCTGATTTTTGATTCATTGCATCATTCATGTCTCTTTCCTACTGAAATTCACTATTTTTATCACGTGTTTCCCAAAAAAAAAACTATACAACAATAAGCTATACACCCCATTACATTATCAAATTTCATATCTCACCTTCCTCCGGCCAAATGGTCGGGGCCCACGCTAGTAATTTGGAGGTTAGAGTTATAGAAGACGTGGGTGGAGCCTGCTCGATGATGACTTCTGTTTCTTCCGTTTTTCGCTTTCTTCTTGAGCTGAGGTGGCAAGCTGAGATCAAAATGATTTTTATCTTTTATATACGAAGACGAAGTCGAACGAAACTAGTGATCTGCAACTGAATTAATGGGATTCTTCTTCTAAGTGGTGAAAAATTAGAGAAATGATTTGCTTAATGTATTTTCATATGCATATGTGTTTGTTGAAAAGCTTTTAGATAAGTGATTTTTCAATAAGTAATTTGTATAACATTCAAGGTTCAAGAAGGTGTTAGGTAGGTATTTAAGTCAGGTTTAGGCATTCACTAAGAGATGACTTAATGTTTTAAGTGATAACAAAAATTTAGTAGAAAAATAATTTTATAGCATTTTTTAATTATATTTAATTTAATTGACTAATTTATAACTTAGCCCACCCTTAACAACAATTAAAATATGTTATGAGTTTCGAAAAAACAACAGATTCAACTTCATAAAAAGTTTGCAACACAAGTTCACAGGAACAACAAATTCTTAGCAATGAAAAGTTTATAAAAACAATCCAATAACAAACAATTAAAAACTAGTTCATTTATTCTCATACAAATAGGTTTGTTTGACCACCACTTCATCTTCATCTTCCTCAAAATCAAACTTCTCTCCATCCTCTTCTTCTTTCTTCTCATCAGACTCAAATTCTTCATCATAGATGTCTCTTACAAGCTCTGTCGATCCTTTTCAATCCAGATAAAATATGTTCTCATTCAACGCAAGAATAAAAGTCAACCGCTCTAGGATTCTATCAACTCTTGTTCTATCCGTTGGGACACCAAATAATTTATTTCGATTTGAAATGCAAAAAAAGGTTGAAAGTTGGAGTTCATTATTTTATGGCCAATACTATGGTTCTGCTATAAAAAGTGCGACACCCGTGCTGCAGTTTGTGATTGGTCACGTAAGTTGTAATGTGGCGGTGGTTGAATTCATTCAACTCAATCTAAACTCGGTGGCCCATAAGAACTGGCCCAAATCAGAAGCTGCCCAAAGTAACGGAATCCTTGCTTCCGTTTTGCAATATCTTAATCTTTTTTTTATATTATATTATATTGTTTATTTGACTATTGCATTTGTTTATTTACAGGAGCGCAAAAAATGAAAGAAAATCTAGAACACAGAGTTGTCTTCCTCTGTCTCCCGCTCCGGTGAGTGTGAAAGGAACTCCGACAAACTTCTTCGGCGATAATATAATCTCTCATATATCCTTTTTAGTCGATCTTGTGTGTAGGGAATAGTGACTGATTCCATGAATGAATTTAGCTACTGAATTTACATATGACCAATACAAAACCAAAATAAAGGAAGGATAACCTAGATGCTCTGATGTATAAGAGATTGAGGTTTAGCGTCAGAAACAGAGGAGGATCGCCGTATGTGCACAGTGCACCCCATCTGCAGAAGTGGAGTTCGCCGGCCGGCTGACGGGACATGGATTCTAGATCGAGACAAAATGAATTGGCAACGGTGGGTGTCATACTGTGTGGGATGGAAAACGATGATGGTCTGGAAAGAAGAGGTCAAGGCGGAGCACAATTCGGTGGGTTCAGTGAAGTTCACCGGAGCAGTTGGTTCTTTTCACAGTCAGACGGATTGCGAGATCGAGGAAGACGATCATCTACTGTGCCTTTTTTCGTTTACTTTTTTCTGTTCTTGGGAGAAAAAAAAATTGCATTTAAAAATAATTAAATTGTGATTGAATTATTAAAAGAAAAAAAAATACTAAACGGCTGGGCAAACGGAATGTGACGTGAGACTTCTCTGTCTCATTGGACAGCTTTTGGTTTGGGCCAGTTTTTATGGGCCACCAGGTGGGAATTGAGTTTAATGAATCCAACCACTGCTACATCACATCCCATGTGGACCAATCAAAAATTGCAGTATCAGTACTGCACTGTTTTTTCAGCGGCACCGTAGTATTGGTCTTATTTTATTGAAGTTGAATTCCCATGGGCTTTCTTGTTCCACGCACAGGCTTGGGCTTTTGAGTCTTTCATTGGACAAGCTCCATCACAATGTTCATTGTGTTGCTGGTTACTTAACGGTACAATATCAAAATGGAAAGATGTAAAAGAACATGCCAACATGGCATGGTATCGGTCGGTCTAGACTTGAGAGCTATGTCAATTTGACTCCTTTGAGATTGGGTTTAGGTCGCTAAACTCACTTATTGAGTCAATCATAAAAATAATAATAAGTAGAAAGATGTTATGTGCAATGCAGTTAAAAGCGCGATTCTACCTAGAAGCGGAAAATGGCTAAAATCGTAAAACGTAGAATCAAAGCGTAAAATCGTAAGTTTTTGACGCACCCATTAAAATAGCTAAAATATGTGAAGTACAACATATAGTATGTAAAATGTGAGTGTGTAGATTTTAAGATAAGTGGATAACTACATTAAATTCATAACTAAAATCTAATATCTAACACATAAACTAATTTACGTTGACTCAAAAGTAGAGAAAACTCATAGCATCTTAATAATAAGCTCATAAACGTAGATCGTAACCCATAAACGAGCTTGAGAATCCAAATTCTCATAAGCTGGTTTGAGTTTACATAATTACATTCGATCAATTACCCATAAACTTTCATCGTAACCCAGGTAAGAGCCACATGTGAAGATTAAAGGAGAAGACTGATAGAAGGTCAGCGGCTGTTGAGAATACCATTAGGTGTCTTTTCAACCTAATGTGAAGTCCCTATTTCGACACTAGTTGCAGAACGAGTGATGAATCATGTTTTCCTTTTTCTATTTTTGCTGGTATGTCTGCAAAATTACATCATTTGGGCCAATTATCACAATTTTATGAGATGATCAAAATCGTATAAAAATGCTTCAGAATCGTGATTTTACCGATTTTACCCATGTTTTTACCAGTTTTTGTGACTAAGCGACTTTAGGTAGAAACAGAAACGTTTTGGTGGCCTGGATACGTAAAAACGTAAGTTTTTATGTTTTAATGCGCGATTTTGACTACACTGGTTATGTGGTGGTTGATAGTCTTGTTTTTAATAATATTAAAGACTCGATTTTTATTTATGAGAATAGAGTTTAATATTTAGTCAGCTATTTAACTCACTTATAGCCGCATATGTACCTAAGGTAAGATAGCCTAATGGGTGTTGCTTGTTCGGTATTTGGGATAGTTGTCGCGATAGTGAAGGATTGACAGTTACAAATTCCAGGTTTGAATCAAAGTGAGGCCCATTGGTGTTCCCGGAGGTACAAGACTGCTCGGGGCGAAGCCCCGTTGGCGTCAAAATTGTTTGCAGGTGGCCCCCAAATTTAGTAGAACCTGCTGTCACAAAGTGGCACGTGGGGTTGAGATTCCTGGATAATAATAAAAAATAGCCGCATATGTCCTAAAAATTAAAAAGATGTTGTGCTCTATAGTAAGACTAAGATGATACAATATATTTTATTACCTCAAACGCGCAAATTAAATATTGTCATCTTACATTGAATACGAGATCTAGAACAAAATTCTGTGGTAATCAACGAACTTTTGGAAGGGTACTCAAGACTATATATATGGAGAGAACTGAGAAGGGCTAGCTAGTACTTGGCTTGCACCAACATTAGCCGGCTGCATGCATCATTCTCTCTAGAACGTGAAAAGGGAAAAGGAAACCAAAACAAACAGAGCAAACTATTTGGCTGCTCTGAAAAAAAGTGAAACGTTTTATTTGCCTGAAGCATATTATTAGAATTCCCACTACTAAATTGTTCTTCTGTTCATCTTTCCTCCACTCCCACCACCTTCAAGCAGCTTCTTCCATATCGTTAGGGAATTCAGAAATCTCATTACCTGTATTCCCCCCAAGAAAAGACATCCATTCAGTTCAGAGTAATAAAAGTACCCTTTTGCCAAAGGAGAACTTGTAGTTTCTTCTTAATTACCTCAGTAGGATCTTTGAGAGAGTAGAAAGCATTGCTCTCTTTAGCAACAGACGATACCAGAATCCCATACCCTTTCTTCCCTTGCCTTAACACCCTGAATGCATCCTCGTCCGTCCGGTCATCCCCTATGTAGATCGGCAGCACATTTCTGCCATCGCTTAGACCAAGAGACTCCAACAGAAATTCAACTGCTTTCCCTTTATCCCAGTCTATCTCTGGCCGGACTTCTAAAACCTAGATCGAGTGTGTTCATTCCATCACACAACATACAATGTCAAAGGGGGAATTGGACACATCAAGAAAGATACAATTATGATATATCTTTTCTTTTTCTTACCTTCCGCCCGTGAGTTAATCGCAAGCGAGGGTAGTCCTTTAGGATATCATGAACACGTTGAGCAATAGTCGGCCAATGCTGGACAATCAACAATGACAATGCACAAATATAAAAAAAAAAAAAATCTCATCTTTTGACCGAAAGAACGAAGCTTTTTTATGCAATCTTGGTTTTACCTTTTCATCTACGTTACGATAATGTACAGACGTACAGAACTTGTGGTTCTCAACTTTTGCACCTTTGATTTCTTTCGTATTTTCAACGAGGGTTCTAAAAACCTGGTAGCATCCAAAACACAACGGCAAAGATTGGTACTTCCATCATCAAGAAAAGAGTGTCGAATCAAATCTCAGCTTCAAACTCGCACACCTCGTCAATCATGGAAATGAATTCTCTGGCGGGCTGGAAAAGGTTGACCTCCTTGCCCTGTTGAGATTAAGAGAGTTAAAACTTAAAACACACACAACAAAGTTCCATTGGAAACCCCAAATTGGAATAACTGACTACTATCTCAAACTACCTGTTTGTCAATAGTAGATTCAACACAAGAGTTAAGATGGGGGTCAGTGGGCGCTGTTTGGTTGGTAGGGCCCATGATGTCCATCCCATGACTACCGGCATAGTAGAGCTCTGTTAATTCTACCAACTCATAAACCTGGATTTAATTACGCGCAGTAGGGCAAGGCATCACATCACTTTCACACAACAACAAATTAAACTTATAAAAGTAGGTATTGAAATGGGAACAGAACAACCCACAATGCTTATTATATGGGAAAAATAATACTTCCTCCACCTACCTTGTCACGGCTCCTTCCACTAATTATGGCGGTTGGAAAATACTTTGCTACATTTCTTACAGCAGAACGCATCTAGAGAAACATTGACATCTCAACATCAGAAAATCAAACAACAAGAACAAATTAACGAAAGGAAATAGATAAGCTGGTGAAACAGCTAGCTTATAATTAACCTCCTCGGACATAAGAGCTTGATCTGGGTCGTCTACTATTGGAGACAGAGTTCCATCATAGTCTAGAAACACTGCTATCTTCTTGTTCCTTGCAGAATGGGTAATCTGCTCAAACGATTTTATTGCTGATGGATACTTGAGCTGCAGAAAATCACAAACCAGGGTGCTTTACAATCTACCATGACCCTATACAGCAAAGCTTATCAATCTAAAAGTATGCAAATAACATCATTACCAGCCAGGAGCAATAAGCAAAGTCCGGATCTTCAGCTGCAGTGATCAAATCCTTGATGAGTTTCTTGCGAGGAGGTGATGATGATTTCATGGCCTCGAGCCATCCATTAGATCGAACGTCGTCAAGCTTGCCTATCTTTTTCCTAGGGATGTTGATGTACTTCCCAGAGGAGAATGAAGGCAGACCGGTATGGATACCGAGTCTCGAGTTGTTTATTGGAGATGGATCAGTTAGAACTGGAGACGAACTGCTTGATTTCATCTCCATTCGGACCACACACTTTGTGAGCTAGTTATAGAGAGTTAGGTGTATGACAAAGCACTTGCAAAGAATGATCTGCCTTCCGTGATTGTTTACCCGACCCTCTTGTCAATGAAAAACCACCTCTTCAATGTTTTCTTGTCACTGCAACTGGGAGTGCTATCCATCAAGCGCAGACTTCCTGGAAACTGGAAAGATAACTGAGATTGTTAGAACTTCCATAACCGGAAGGCGTCTAAACATATATAGCAACATCGGAAATCCAGTTTACCTTCTCATCTCCGAAGCTGCACCACATTTATAGCAAGCGATTAAAGTTGAACATTATTGTTGAACATTATTTGTCAAAAAGGGTTGTTCCGGAAAGGACTTTTGCTGGCCAATCTGCACTTCCGTATCTGCCTTGAACATAAACAGTAGACAAAGAACCATTTAGTCACGGCAAGCTTTGCTTTCTAGTTGCTAAACAAAAGTCTACGGTACTTTTTGACACATACTGGATGAAAGAACAGAAACCCAAATTAACACGGAGAGAACAGAAAGAATCAAAGAATCTTGAGCAGCAATGCAAAAACCAGACTAGAAAAATGGGCAAGGATAAGTGCAAGTATTCTTGAGCAGAGAAAGGAGACAAGTGTTCCTGAACAAAGAAAAGACCATTGGGACCACTTCTAAACGGCTGCAAGAAGTCTGCAGAATATTGACCAGATATTTGAAGACTATCACTAACAAACTGAAGAAAACAGATGGCCTCTCTGTCGTTAAATAACTGCTATAACATTCAAAGCCACAGAAGCAATTTCAGGTCCTGCAACTGAATCAACTTCAAAACTATCAAAACAAGAACAAGCAAAGACATAGAGATCAAGTAGACCTTAAAACAGGTAGAAAAGGTCGACCAAATTTGGCAAGGTAGCTCCCTGATTAAATAGAAAGCTCCTACCCTTAACACAAGTTGGGAATAGTTCACTCATCAGTCTCCTGTTATCCTGGGCAGCAGGTGCAAATTGCAATTACATATTACGAGACAGATAATTCAAACACATGCTACAGTTTCCTTAGATCCAATCAATAAGGAAACATTTGCATATTTTAAACCAAGTGGACACTAAGTACAACAGCTATCCACTCCTGCCGCATTACAAGCCCACTTAAAGCTAGAAAATAAATTTGATTATCCCAAACTACAGTCCCTTACCCAAGAAAGAGTTTAACTTGGGGCAGAGGACTTCATCTTGGATGAATAATACAAAAAGCTAGCCCCCCACCCCTTTCGCTAATGGGAATAAACTAGTGAACAACAATGCAGGTTAAACTCCAAAACATAGTATTAGGTAATCCTATTGCATTATTATACTATTAGTTCACACATGTACAAGATGCAGACAGAAAGGTCCACCCATGTAGGTCTCTTTCCCACCTTGAAAGAAGTTGTTTCACCTGTAGATCTAATTAAATCATTGTCAGAAGTACAATCTTTTTGTTTCCCTTATTAAACAAAGAGCAAACCATTAATAAAAAGGCAATTCAGGAGAAACAAATCGGCCCACCATACTGACAAGACTACCAAAACGACCGTAAAAATTCCCCCTTTCTCAACAAGAGAAGAACAGAGGAAAACTAAAGAGTAACGCAACACGTATACAGAAAAGAGCAACATAAAATATTAAACCCCTCCAGTACCCAGATCGCCTCCTGATTGAGATGCCAAATTACATATTAGAGTATGTATCTCTAGATTAAAGAAGCTATCAAGAGTAACACGTATAGTACTGTTCTCTGCTGATCACTTTTATATACATATTTCCAGATTGCCGCAGCCCTCGGTTAAAAATGTGATACATGTCTTGGGGAATTTCTTAAATCTTTGGTTTCCCCGGCAAACATGGAATCTTCCATGTACAACAAGGTTTTAGATCTTCATCGCTCGAATCCCAAAATTTGTTCCTCGGAGTTTATTATGTGCATTAGTCCCTTTGTTTGGTTGGTGCCAAATCCCATTATTATACCCATATCAAGTACGCTCTAATCAACCAATGGGTAACATCGATGGGGAGAAAGGGATTAAGAGCGATTGAGAAATCAGGTCGGCCTTCACCATAAAACAAAAAACTTTAGCTTCTGTTGGCAGCCAGCTGCTGAGAACCGACAGACCCCAAAAAAAAAAAGAGGGAAATCACTGTAGAATAATATTTGCGGACGGCCCAATGAGACGTCAAATCAGATTCCACACAAACACAAAACAGAGACATTTCATCAAACATCTTGGGTGCCCTTTGGAAAGTCGGCTCCACGAAAACCCAGGTTTTGCATGACGAATCATAATGGAAAAGAAAAAGGGGAAATATGAATGACCCACAACACAAAACAGATCCCAGAACAGATCTCACGAGAAATAGAGGATTCCCATTTTGACGTCGACGATTGTGGAGGGTTTACTCCGGCATTGTGAAAACTAATCAGGGTTCTTAAAAGTAGAAGGAAAAAAACTAACAAACAGAGCCATGGAAAGGAGTAAATTGAAACGTATACCTGAATGATCCAGGTGGAAACGGTTGTTCTAGCAATTGCCAGCCGGCCACCGGGAAAAAAGCAGGAAGCGGGGGAAGACCCTTTCTGTGAATGGAGAATTGGCGGGGGAGAGGGAGAGAAATGGGATTTTATGATCGGACCGAACAGATTATGAAGCAGAGAGGAGAGAGGAGGGAAATAGGGAAAGAACAGGTATTTATAGAGTTTTAGAGGAAATAGGCTGGTGACGGTGGTGGTGGCGGGGGAGTGAGACGACGTATTGAAGAAGGCAATTCTCACTCGAGGAAACACTAGTTTTAGGAACCACCACTGACTTTCAATGTATAAGAATTCATTAGTTTACACTTTACATAAAATGAAAAATAGGGGCGTTCGGTTCCTATAGTACTTACCAAATCAAATAAGTATAAACTAATACAATAATCAAATTAACCAAACTGAATTTTAATCGGTTTGGTTAATTGATTAACCTAAATAACCAATATAACATTACATTATCATTAAGTGAGGAAATCTCCGGTTAATGCATCAATTTGCAATTTTATGATAAAACATAACAATCAATATATAGTTATAGTTAACACTTAACATAAATACAAGTAACTTATACAATTATCTTACTGTCAATAGATGTATTCACGTAACAAAAAATATATGTCAATGGTATGGGGTTAATGAATTATTGTGTGTAACACCCTGGTATTTTAGATTTAGGTTCGACCTTAATACATGATCGGTTGGATTGACGGTTACGTACTAAGAGTTACAACCGCGGATTAAAAATAATAATATTATGACATTATTATAATAATACATTATGTAAAAAAAAAAGGAAAATGGGGCGGCCCAAGGAGGTCGGCTCCTCCACCCCAAACAATAAATCTCACCCCCCCCCCCCCATAATGGCCCGAGCCGCAAAAACCCAGGAGGCCAAATAAGAGAAAAAAAAACCCTCGTCGGGTAATTCTGCAAGCAGTCGCCGCTGCGAGGAAAAGAAGAAAAGAAGGGAAGCGCCGGCTCTCCATCCCGACCCCGATCTCAATTCCGATCTCATCCCTTTCGTGTTTTTAGGTAAGTATCACGAACTCCCTTCGCGATTTCTAAACTCAATTTATCGGTAGACTAATCCGAAGCTCGTATTTTAATTAGCGGTGACGTTGAGGGTTCGATCAACAAGAAGATCAACGTCCCGGGTCATCCAACCTAGACCTAGACACGTTCTAGAGGTAAGGGAACTCGATCCCTTTGAGTTAGATCGATTGATTTGGTGATTTTTCGTGAGGGTAGAATTCTAGGATTTTAGCAACAGGCTTTACAGGCTTTTAGCGACAGATTTTGATTGGTCACTAAAGCTGCTGGAAATTTCCAGAAACGTAATTTTAGATGTTTTAAATTTTTTCGAGCCTCTCTGAAGGTGTTTTTATGGATCTAACAATTTTATAAATTGAGAAACGTCTAGGAGATGATTTTCATTTAATTTGGTAATTTTCTAAGATGTATTTCTATTTTTAGAAATTGTTCGAATATTTGTTTTAATTAAATAAAAATCTTTCCGAGAGGTTTTTATGAGTTTGATAATTTTACAGGGTATAGGGGATCTTGATTGACATGGAAAAATTATTATCCGAATTTTTAAGAAGGTTCTAATTACGAGGAAAATTCGTCCAAGACTAAAATAATTAAGAAAAATGGTCGTTTTTTAAGGGATTAATTCTAGAAACTTTTAATGGGGTTAAAGGACCCTTGGAATGAGGTTCAAGGACTGGAGTTTGAGGAGAGGAGGTTCTAGTGATTCAAAGGGGTTTTAAATCAAGAAAGGTCGTCTAAGAAAATGGATTCTTATTAATAGGTTTCCCCAAGATAATCCGGCTAAGGAGGGGTTTCTTCGAGGAAGGAATTGAGGAGTCATCTTTTCGAGGTGAGTGTAAAGGGGATAAAATCTCTATCGTAGGTCTTGTAGTTTATGCTTTTTGTTCAAGTTATTGTTTAGTTATTTTTCTAGTTTGCGTGATATGTGTGTGAGGCATCCCACCATCTGTAAAGGTGGAGGCACGCGTTGTGCTATGTATGAATGTATGTGATGTTGTATGGATTGATGGTAAGATGAACCCCCGGTCAGTTGGGTCACTACTGGACGACGAGACGTAACGCAGTCGTTGACGTGCATGGACTGGACGGCGAGACGTAACGCAGTGCCATTGCCGAGTTTGGGTATGCAACCAGACGGCGAGACGTAATGCGGTTGGCATACTAGGGTAGGACACCGGACGACGAGACGTAACGCGGTGGTCCTAGTGTTTGTGTTGAGATAAGGATAGAAGTCGAGAACTTTTATGAGTTAATGTTGAAATGAGTTGATAAGAATGGTTATTTAAGAGCGGAAAGCGAGAACGGCTTTCATGCTAGGAAGGCATTTCCTCTAATAATGTGTTTAGTAGGAAGTTTGCCTAGGGCAAAGACCTTAGGAAGTAACGACGAGACTGACCCCTTCTCACTCACCAGGCTGAGGAAGGGTTAGCAGAGGTGGATTCCGAGAAGTAGTAAGATGAGGAAAGCTGTCACCCCAGTATGGACGATACCTCTAGGAATCAGCAAGGAGTTAGAACTAGAGTTAGGTTAAGTATTTTTTTTGTTCATGGTTATGAGTATATGTACTGGAGATTCAAGGTTCAAGATTTTGTGTTAAGTTGTTTTAAGTGTTTGAGATTGAGATTTTGCCCAAGTGTTGGGGCTTTTTGTTTAAAATTATTAAATAAAGTCAGTTTGTTATTTTAAAAGTGGTTCGGGTTGCTCCGGAGTAACCGGTTTGTGGTTTGAGTTTTGGTTTGGTTTTCAAAAAGGATCGGGTCGTGTCATTTTGCTATCAGAGCCGATACTCCTTTGTTCCTTGGCCTCCAAGGAATACCGGAGTGACGATCTGCGTTATTTAAGGTTTCAGTTTTTAAAGGGAAAGGAAAAAGGGAGTGTCAGTTAAAAGTTTGGCCAAACGAGTCAGAGTCTTTCAGAAATCTTTAGGATCTCCAGTATACTCTAATCATGATAAGGAAATAACTTTAGGATGCCCTATGGGGTTATGATACGTCTTGGGAAGGAGAAGGAGCAGGTTCCTAGAGGGATCGTTTAGTGAAACCCCTTCATGAGTGAGAAGAGGAGGGGTCAAGGTAGCTCATATTCTATGGGGATGTGAGCTGATCAGAATAAAGTTCTGGAAGGAGCCAAGTAGTTAGTACATCGACTGGTAGAGCCAAGGAGTTATGGCAAATGTCGCCATAATCGAGAGGAAAGGGTGCAAGGAAAGGTCGTGGAGTTCATGAGAATTGAACATAGGGCTACAACCCCAAGGAGCAGCTGAAAGTTAGACTTTGAAAAATACTAGGGCCACTTCAGCAAGCAAAGGAAGAACTAAGTATATCATAGGGAGCCTAACAAGATGTCATGGGATCAATACATCAAGGCTAGAAGGTGGTACAACTCCTTACATCAACTACCAGGAGAATTGGATCAACATGACAAGCCGAATTGGCATTTTGTTTCACCATGTTTAGATCAAGCTGGGAAGTAAAAAGGGCAGTGAGACACTTATGGGTACACGAGTGCTGCAAGCTAAGGAAACTTATTTGAGCAAAAGGTACCAACGAAGTTGTTATAGTAAGAATAGATGATCGTGGGAAGGAAGTATAAGAAGGGTGTTGATAGAAGGATGAGTTCCGAGCAAATTTCGGGGACGAAATTTATATAAGGGTGGGGGAAATGTAACACCCTGGTATTTTAGATTTAGGTTCAACCTTAATACGTGATCGGTTGGATTGACGGTTACGTACTAAGAGTTACAATCGCGGATTAAGAATAATAATATTATGACATTATTATAATAATAATAATATTATTATTATTACATAATATAATAATAATATTATTATAATATAATATTATTATTATTATAATAATAATAAAAATATTACTATTATTACATTAATAATAATATAATAATAATATTATTATTATTATTATTACATTATGTAAAAAAAAAGGAAAATGGGGCGGCCCAAGGAGGTCGGCGCCTCCACCCCCAAACAATAAATCTCCCCACCCCCTCCCCAATAATGGCCCGAGCCGCAAAAACCCAGGAGACCAAATAAGAAAAAAAACCCTCCTCGGGTAATTCTGCAAGCAGCCGCCGCTGCGAGGAAAAGAAGGGAAGCGCCGGCTCTCCATCCCGACCCCGATCCCAATTCTGATCTCATCCCTTTCGTGTTTCTAGGTAAGGATCACGAACTCCTTCGCGATTTCTAAACTCGATTTATCGGTAGACTAATCCGAAGTTCGTATTTTTATTAGCGGTGACGTTGAGGGTTCGATCAACAAGGAGATCAACGTCCCGGGTCATCCAACCTAGGCCAAGGCACGTTCTAGAGGTAAGGGAACTCGATCCCTTTGAGTTAGATCGATTGATTTGGTGATTTTTCGTGAGGGTTGTATTCTAGGGTTTTAGCAACAGGCATTACAGGCTTTTAGCAACAGATTTTGATTGGTCACTAAAACTGCTGGGAATTTCCAGAAACGTATTTTTAGATGTTTTAAATTGTTTAAAGCCTCTCTAAAGGTTTCTTTCTGGATTTAACAATTTTATAAACTGAGAGACGTCTAGGAGATGATTTTAATTTAATTTGGGAACTTTCGAAGATGTATTTCTATTTTTAGAAATTGTTAGAATATTTATTTTAATTAAATAAAAATCTTTTCGAGGGGTTTTTATGGGTTTGATAATTTTCCAGGGTATAGGGGCTCATGATTGACATGGGAAAATTATTATCCGAATTTTTAAGAAGGTTCTAATTAGGAGGAAAATTCGTCCAAGACTAAAATAATTAAGAAAAATGGTCGGTTTTTAAGGGATTAATTATAGAAAATTTTAATGGGGGTTAAAGGACCCTTGGAATGAGGTTCAAGGACTGGAGTTTGAGGAGAGGAGGTTCTAGTGATTCAAAGGGGTTTTAAATCAAGAAAGGTCGTCTAAGAAAATGGATTCTTATTAATAGGCTTCCCCCAGATAATCTGGCTAAGGCGGGGTTTCTTCGAGGAAGGAATTGAGGAGTCATCTTTCCGAGGTGAGTGTAAAGGGGATAAAATCTCTATCGTAGGTCTTGTAGTTTATGCTTTTCGTTCAAGTTATTGTTTAGTTATTTTTCTAGTTTGCGCGATATGTGTGTGAGGCATCCCACCACCTGTAAGGGTGGAGGCACGCGTTGTGCTATGTATGAATGTATGTGATGTTGTATGGATTGATGGTAAGATGAACCC